CTACACTGTCCAAATATAATAGAATATTATTTTATCCAAAAATATCTTAAATTGGTCTTCACTCTCACTCATGCATCTCAACGTCACTCTCTCCTAGGGTTCATACCGTAACGCCTCTTTTTGGATATCGATCATTGACCGACATTCTCCTTTGTACAGAGTTGATTGTACCGGCGAGAAATTGGAGAGGATTGTAGATTGAAGAGCATCGAATGATGTATTCGATGCCTTCATATGATTATTATTCACGTAGTCACTCTGCCTCGTTCTATGGCGGCGGCTCTTCACATCGCTTGAAACATCTTGAAAAAAGCGATCGGCGTGGTAATCTTAGTAGCTAACTGTAGCCTAAACTTTTCTTTTCTTCTCTGAATTTAGCCGGTTTTTGCACTTTGTGGACACTGTTTTGCCATTTCCGATTGGGTGGTGTTATCTTCTTATATAGTATACTGATAAATTATGGCGATTTAGCTCATTTCGATTGCAACTTGAGTGTTCGGAATTTGCCGGCCACCTCTTTCCTGTTGATTCGATCTTGCTTTTAAAGAGTTCTATTCGGACGCCCGGAGATTTTCTCTCGAGCATTGTGGGATCAAAATCAGGTTTTTTTTTTCCTGGATAACAGTCGCATTGTACCCTTTTTTATGTATGAATGTTGGTGTTTTCTAATTTTTGGAACAGTATTCAAGTTTATTGAGATTTGATTTGTCTTGAGCATAGGCTTGGGATATTTATGAGAAAAATAAAACTGGTAAATCATGAAGTAATTTGCAAATAGCTAAATCATAGCTACAATTTGAGTTACTGAAATAAAAGGTATGGTATGCGGAAAATCAAAAAGTTGAAAGGTTAATTAAATGGAACACCATCATATCCATTACTGTCAAATGATAATATTGTGGTGAGCCAACGAAACTACATATTACTTATGTGGTGACATGAATTGTGTTCTAATTATACCCACAAGGCTACAACTGTTAATTTGTTTGTACTGGTTTTTTCCCTACCTAGATCCTAATAACTTTATCTAAAGGCACTTAAAATATTATTAACTATTTTTAAATTTTAAGCACTGAACTAACCTTTTTATTGTGCTAGTCACGCATCATTGGATTTTAAGATTAATTATACATGTAAACATATTATCTCAAACAATTGAGGCCTTCGTTGCAAACAACTTTACACTACCTTGTTATTAATCTAGACATCAACTGGATGAGATGTGTCCAGGTCAACAGTGATCTACAATTTGTTCTTGGATTTGTATCTACGTTCTTTAAGAAGTAACTGTTTTTGTATGTATGGGTGCACCGTTCTGATTTCTGCTTTTACAGACTTCTTCTGCAGTTTTTACTCTAATAGATGGAAGTTTCCATTCCTTCTGATACGTCAGCTCCTCAAGATTTAAGCAGCCTTAGTAAATTGTCAACAGATCTGCCTGATTCAGGTCATAACCACGCGGAGGACTTTTCTATTAATGATCTTCAGAATTGTTTGAGTGAGACTCTAACAACTGAAGATGTTGAAATATCAACCTGTGGCTTCACTCCTCTTGAGAAGAATGATATCAGCAATGCTGTGAGGAAACATAAAAATGAGGACTCCAATGTGAGCGACTCGAGTAATTTATCTTCTGAGAAATGCATTAGCAAATGTGCGACATTTCCACCTTTTGTTGAGCAGAAATCCTCTGCCAAAGAATTATGTAAAAGGAAAGGGAAGCAGGGAAATGATATAACTGCTAAATCTGTTGATCTGTCCTACTCTCGATCCATATCTTTGCCTGTAAGTTTTTCTTTGTCATCTTAGTAGCTAGCTCGTCTGCATTCTTTCCTTGATGCACAAATTTTTCCCATGTCGAATGGGTGTTCTCAAGTGAATATCAAATGCTTATTTTTCTCCATTACAATCTGTATCTACTACAGCTGTTTACTTGGTTCACGTGAATCATAATGATACTATTTCAATGCATGATGAGTTTCTGGGGAATACTAATGCTTTTGTGCCACATGTTTTATTTTTTATGAGTTAAATGTTCGATTGTGTGCAATTTTTTGTGTCTACCATTGGATTCCAATTTATTCGGAGATGGGGTTTTTGTTTCCAAAGGAAAAAGTGAGTATAATTACATTTGAGCACACCATTTTATAGTTGCGACTTTATAATTAATTTCTCCTTGATACTATATTCTTAGACTCCTTTGAAGCTTGCATCTGCCATAAAAGGTAGCCGTGAAAAGCTGGGAATGCCACCTCAGAAGCAATCAGTGACGTGGGCCCCGGATGTGTATGATCCATCTCCAACAGCAGTGTCGCATGTATTGTCGAACAAGAGTCAGAGCCATCAAAGCGATAGCAAGAAGTCTGGGAAGAACAAGCAGAAAGGTGGTGGCAAATCTTCACGAGGCAGCAGAGGCAAAGGCAAGAAGCAAAACCTGAAGAAGTCAGCAGCTCAGATCCATTACACTGAAGTAGTTTTCTGAAAAAATCTGTCACAGAGTTGCACTTTCCCATCGCAGAATCTACTTGGGAACTTGTCAACCCACTGATGTTGTGAATACATAATGATGAGGTATCGTTGATCAGTCGAATTAGTGCTAGAAAATTGGGAAGATGTTTTTAAGATTGTGCAACTAGTCAACTACGATGAAAATTCGACTAAGAGCTTTTAGTGATTTGGTTCCATGTTTATAGTGGTGTGAAAATAAGATTATTACTCCATTTTCAGTCGTTTTGTAGGTTTTCTTGTGATTAGTTTGATTAATTCAACGCCCAAACTCGACACTTTAAAATCTTTCAAGGCCTTGTCCATTGGAGTAAAATGTACAAATAACTACACTGACAATGCCGATAACTTGACGCACTCAATTGCAAAGCAAAGTGAGAATTGATCTAGTGTTCAATATAATAGATATCTCTGATACAGCTGTAGTTCCAATGCTCCTAACAGAGACCGTAGTAG